TAAAAAATGACTTAAAAGCTTCACCCTAAATTTGAGAGAGGTTTTTGTTGGTGATAGTGTACACTGTGTCTTCAAAAGTCACAAGACTGATTCCCAAAGCTCTGTGTTCATGCTCTGTAGTTGTATGTTAGTGTTTAAAGAAATAGTAAAAATGGGCCATAGTGGAGATGTTAAGTTCTTTCTTCTATTGCAGATAGAGCTGCAAGAATAATGCAATGATTTTTCTTTTTATATGTTCTTTTTAAATGACAAATATGTACAACTATTATTTGGGAGCTTCCCATAAGATTAATGAAATAACTGAAGTGAACATATTTTAGAATCTAACTAACCAATAACCTAAAGTTAAATAACATCTTTAGCTTTTATCAAAGGGGTATAGAAAGATAGTAAGCCTGCTACTATATGGATTACCTAAAAAATTCAAGAGACATAAAATGTTTTCACCCATGGTTTCTAGGTAACTGCCTCAATTCTTCATTTAAATCTTTTAAGATATACCTATGCTTTTAGAATAAAGTACTTAGTATGTGGCAACTCACATCTTCTAGCTCATCAATTCATTTATAACAAATTCTCCCTTGCTGTTCTGTGCTGTGCTAGAAGACAAGGAAAAAATGCATTCATCCAAATTCTTGAGCAGCTTATTTCACTAAAGAAATTAAAATTTGTGTTTATGTTGGCAGCTCTAGCACAACCTTAGTCCATACCCCAGCCTGGTTACTATGGAAATTCAACTTACAAACACTATTAATATCAATGCATCAATCAGAAAGCCCAGTTCTACTTCCCTGGATCACAATCTCATAACTAAAAGCTAAATGATTTATCTGACTATCTGAGTTTCTGTAGTCAGTGACAGGGAACAGATTTCTTGGATACTTACTGATTGAATCATAAGTAAAATGACCTGTTATAATGACTATCTTTTTACCTTGATGACTTTTATTAGCATTTGATCAAAAAGTCAGCTGTATTTGAAGATTCTCCTGGTCTCACATTTTAGCAGAATCATTGTTAATTAGTGTCAAACAGTCTATTTAAATCCCTCAAGCTGGCCCAGCTGGTGTTGACTCAGTGGTTGAGTGTTGACCTATGAACCAGGAGGTCACAGTTTGATTCCCATTCAGAGCACATGCCTGTGTTGTGGCTCAATTCCCCAATGTAGGGCGTGAGGCAATCAATGGTTCTCTCTCATCATAGATGTTTCTATCTCTCTCCCTCTTCCTCTCTGAAATCAATTTAAAACAAAAATCCCTCAAGCTGCCAAGAACCAATCAGTGTCTACTTATGCTCTATATCAGGGTTAGGAAATTTTTTTCTGCCAAGGGCCATTTGAATATTGATAACATAATTCACAAGCCATACAAATTATCTAATTAAAAATTAGCCTGCTCTATTTGGTCACTCACCCCTAATATCTTGGCAGGGCCAGATCAAATGATTTTGTGGGCCTTATACGGCCGGAGAGTTGGATATTCCCCATCCTGGCTCTATAGATACAAGTTGTGTTCTAGGCCTGGGAGGACATCTAATAGGAGATACTGATTGGCCCTAAATAAACAATGTTTTACTCATTGAAAACACACACACACACACACACACACACACACACACACACGAAGAATTATATCAAAATGGTGCAGGACTGGTTGCTAAATGAGTGATACTATGTTTTACTCTAATGACAATTAGCCTTTAAACTCCAAATTTATGAAATGATACTCTGGATATAAAATATTTAAGGAAAATAAGTAAACTTACAATTACAGAACAAAATTTAAAATTACATGCAGACAGCAAGTTTAGGGTATGTTTGTGTTGTATTATTTTCTTTAGCTTTAAGCCTTCTTATGGGTTTCTGTTATTAACATGAGCTGAATGAAAGAAACCTTGGAATATCATTTTGTCAATTCTTGTTAAAGGCTAGTGTTCAAAATGGAAATAATATCTTTATTGGAGATATACTAATTATATTGGTTAATAATGGTGGATTTTGTAATCAAAGAAAACATGACAATTTCAAGAGAAACATCAAAAGTGCTTTGTTGAAAGTAATGTCCATCACTAGCTATATATTTTCCCCATCTCTCAGGTAATTTGTGAATACCATCCCAATAAAACTTTTCTTGTTTTGAGGCAAACCATTCAGAGACCCAATTTTCCACTTCTTCGTATGTTTTGAAGTGCTGCTCAGAAAGTACATGTGCCATCAATTGGAACAAGTGGTCATCTGAAGGAGCAAGGTCTGGTGAATATGGAGGGTAGATTAATACTTCCCAGGCAAGATCTTTTAATGTGTCTTTAACTGGTTTTGAAGTGTGTGATGGTGAATCATCATGAAGCAAAATTACTTTGCCATCTCTTCTGGCACATTCTGGTTATTTTACCATCAAAGTGTGGTTCAAATTGATTATTTGTTGTCAGTAGTGATCAATGGTTTCACCTGCTTTTAGAAGCTCATAATACACCACACCTTCCTGATCCCACCAAACGCAGGGCATTGTCTTCTTTCTGAAAAGATTTGGCCTTGCAGTCAATGTTGATGGTTGACTTGGATCAACCCATGATTTTGTGCATTTGGGATTCTCAAAATAAATCCACTTTTCATCGCCAGTTACAATTCAATGAAAAAAGACTGAAAAAGCAACATTTTACTGATGACTTTAGGTTTTCCATTTGTCTTTTGTTCAGTTGTTGTGGCACCCATTTTCCTTCCTTTAAAATCTTTCCCATTAATTGTAAATGATTAGAAATTGTTTGCTGATCAATGTTTAATCTTTATGCAAGTTATTATTGAGTTTGACATGCATCTTCAATCAATAATGATTGTAATTGTTAGTCTTTAAACTTTTTCGGTTGACCTGGACATTCTTTGTCTTTCACATCGAAATCATCACTTTTAAAGTGTTTAAACCAGCATTCACAAGTATCTGGAGATGGAGCATGTTCACCATATATTTTCTGAAGTATACAATAACTTTTTCTTCAAAATAATGAATTAAAACTTCTTGCAAATGCTCTTTTTTGACATGAAATTTGACATTTTTAAGCCTAAAAATATCTATGATGATAAAACCTTCAGTAAATGTGACACATGAAGTTTGTCACTTGCTGTCATTACAAAAAAAAAAAATAGCATACATGTCAACTCCATGTATTGAAAAAAAATCCACATTATAACTGGTACACCTAGTAAATATTTAATCAGATGGCTTTTCATAATGGCTTCTAAGTCTATCAAGTTCATTTATAACTGAACAGTAGGAAAAAAAGGAAATAAAAGACATCCATATTAAAAAGGAAGAAGTAAAGCTTTCTCTGTTTGCAGATGACATGATCATGTATTAAAAAACCCTAAAAAGTCCATAACCCTCAAAAAACTATTAGAGCTAACAAATGAGTCCAGCAAGATTACAGGAGACCAGATCAATATAGAAAAATCAATTGTATTTCTATTAATGACAAATCCATCCCAAATGAAATTAAGACAATTCCATTTATAATAGCATCAAAAATAATAAAAGGAGTGAAGGCTTGTACACTGAAAACTGCAAAACATCACTGAAACAAATTAAAGAAGAACTAAATAAGTGGGAAGACATCCTCTGCCATGGATTGATGTTGTTAACATGGGAATAGTCTCCAGGTGGATGCACAGATTTAACATTATCTCTATCAAACTCTCAACTGCCTTTTTTGCAGAAATTGACCATCTTATCCTACAATTCATATGGAAATGCAAAGGGTCCAGAATAGCCCAAACTGTTTTTGTTCATCAGTTTATGTTCTTGAAAAAGAACAACAAAGTTGGAGGGATTCATTCTTCCTTATTTCAAAACCTACAACAAAATAGTAATCAAGACTGTCATACTGTCATACAGATCAATGAAATAGAATTGGGAGTTCAGAAATAATGCCATATATTTTTGGTTAGTGGATTTCCATTTCACTGTTAAATGGAGAAAGAATAGTCTTTTCAATAAATGGTGCTGGGACAAAAGGATATTCATATGCAAAATAAAAAGTTAGATCACTAGCTCCTACCATACATAAAATTAACTCAAAATGAATCAAAGACCTAAATGTTAGCACTAAAACTATAAAACTCTTAGGAGAAAATATAAGTATGTATCTTTGTGACCTTGTGTTAGGCAATGGTTTCTTAGATAGGACATTAAAAGCACAAGCAACCAATCACTCCAAATTGGAAACCATCAAAATTAAAATTGTTTGTCCTTCAAAGGCCATATCAAGTAAATGAAAAGACAACCCATAAAATGAGAGAATATATTTGCAAATCATATATTTGCCAATTCAGACTAAATATAGAACTCTGAAAACTCAACAATAAAAGGACAAATATCCCAATGTTAAAATGGGAAAATAATTTGAATAGACATTCCTCTAAAGTAAATATACAAATGGCCAACAAGTGTATAAAAAATATACACACCAACCATAGTATTCCATTGTGTAGATGTACCACAGTTTTTTAATCCTCTCATCTGTTGATGGACACTTTGGCTGTTTCTAAATCTTAGCTATGGTGAATTGTGCTGCTATGAACATAGGGGTGCATATATCCTTTCTGATTGGTGTTTCTAGTTTCTTGGGATATATTCCTAGAAGTGGGATCACTGGGTCAAATGGGAGTTCCATTTTTTAGGTTTTTTTGAGGAAACTCCATACTGTTCTCTACAGTGGCTGCACCAGTCTGCTTTCCCACCAGCAGTGCACGAGGGTTCCTTTTTCTCGGCATCTTCGCCAGCATTTGAAATCTGACAGGTTTTTAATATCAGTGTAGATAGTGAAATAATGAGTCCAGCCTTTCTGCTAGTCACACTGTGAAGGTAAATATGAATTCATTGCTTCCGTCTCTCATTAAGTTCATGCGGATCCTTTGCATGTAGGTTGATTAAACTTTAATTGTTCTGAAGTTGAGGGGAGAATTCTGAGTATTTTAACCCCAAAATATGTGCTCTCTCATTCCTTCCCAGGTGCTGCCCTTCCCAAGTCAGGTGGTGTATAACAGAGTTGGCAAGTGTGGGAGTCGCACTGTGGTCTTGCTTCTGAGAATTTTGTCGGAGAAGCACGGATTTAATTTAGTCACGTCGGACATTCACAACAAAACCAGGCTTACTAAAAATGAGCAAGTAAGTGGTCTTTGGCCATGGCTAAATTGTACTTTGCTTCGATTCGTTTGTGTAATTAGTGGGTGCCTTACAGGACATCCTTCAAACCCTGACGGATGATTACCAGATTTGCAATTTCACACTGTATATTTGTCAGAGTGTGGAAGGAAGTTGAAGTTAAGTGTTCTGGTGGTAGTCGTTAAGCCAGGAAGTTTCCGAGAAGGAATACTTTTGTTAGACCAAAGGACAGTGAGCACTCATCATTGTTTATTTAGCTAAAAGTAGCAATGCATAAATCTCAGATAGTTACGCCACTGAGCTAAATAAGAAAGGCAAAAATAAGAAAGGTTTATTTTAATATTTCTCCTTCTATTTTTGCTCACAAGTATTCTAGGAACCTGACTGGTCGATGGGGGCATAAGCTTCCTGTTACCATCAGCTCAGGGGATCTTGAGCTTCCAAAGCAGCATTTGGCATTTTCAGTGGCAGCAAAAGAATGATCCCATTTCCCAGGAACAATTCTGTCTCCATATAGCCGAGCCATACAAGTGAACATACTGGTGATAGAGTCTGCTCTACACTCTGCCTGGAAGCTATGCAAACAGAAGCTACTTTATAAGCTTATACAAAGTAGAGTCAATAGCCACTTTGCTGATATTGCACAGTTAGGCCAGTGCTCTCAAGGTCATTTTACAGGGTCAAGTTCGTTAGTCTATCTTGCAAAGTTGCTTCTGTGCCTTTAGTACTTAGGATGGATGAATAGCGACCAGTATAATGCAGGGTTTTCTAGAGAACAGAACCAGTAGGATGGAGATATCTATCAATTATCAATAAATAGCTATAAAAGGAGAATTATTATGATGAATTGGCTCACACAATAACGGAGACCATGATCTGCCCTCTGTAAGCTGGAGACGCAGCAAAGCTATTGGTGCAATGGAGTTTGAAGGCCTAAAAACCAGGGGAGCCAAGCTGTAAGTCCCAGTTAAAGTTATAAAAGGAAATGTTCCAGCTTAAACATTGAGGCAGGGGAAAAGGGGCCAGTTCCTCCTTTCTCCACATTTTGTTTGATTCAGGCCTTTAAGAGATGGGGTGATGCACACCCACATTGGGAGAGCAATCTCCTTTACTAAGTCCATGGATTCAAGTGCTCATCTCATTCAGAAACATTCTCATAGACACACCCAGAAATATTGTGTGATCTGGGCTCCCCTTGGCCAGTTAAGTTGACACATAACATTACCTATCACAACACCCAATGAGTATGGAAGTTTGGAGAATAAATAAGGCTCATGGTTTACTATCAGATTGAGACCACAATTATGGAAATTTCCACTCATGTCCTCTTCTTTTTGGCAAAGGACCACAAAGAAAGGGAATTTACAGCAGCCTTTATTTCTTTTCCCATGGGGACAGTTTTTAAGATAGTAACATAACCAACAGCACTTGCTATAAGCCAATATATTTAATGTCTCCCACAATTTAGAGAATAACTCCTTTGAAAACTTCCACTAAAGAGTCTCTGAGTATCAAGTCCCAAGAGTCCATCAACAATAAATATTTTGATATTATCCCTTGAAGCTTCTGTAGTAGGCTGACAACAGAAAAAAAAAATTATATTTGGTGACATTTAAGGATATCTCATTTTATTAATAAGTTTAATAGGGTTATGTTCTCAGATTTCCTTACCTGATTGAAGAGCTAATATGAGGAGACTGGTCATGTCCTCTTCACTACCTGAAAGAAAGTGACTATACATGAAGAGCCCATGTAGTTGCAATTTCATTCTAATTATTAAATTTGGTTTTCCTTGGAGTCTTTGAGTCTGCTTATCAGATTACACCTAAATATTGCTATGTATGGAAACTATGCCCAGTTCCCAGAAGCCTCATAAAACACAGCAACTCGATTTCAGTTCCCACCGCTGAGCAGATGCAAACAATACAGCAAGGTAACTGTGTGTTAGACACTGAGATATTTGGGAATGCCATAGGAGAGAGAGCACAAAATATATCACTTAAATACACCGTGGGATTTTCCACAGATAAACAAACCTACTTTGTTTCCTATGAGGAACCGTCTTGAGAAAGTAAAATACGGTTGCAACTGTCTAGAGAAAGATTTAGATGAGAATTTAGCAGTAATTGAATAAAGGTGTATAAATGGAGGCCTCTGGAGAAGGGTTAAAGACAAAGTCATCTTTGTCCTCTAAAATAGAAGTGAGCTCTCATCTGTTTGGAATGATTGGCTTGTCTGGAAGCCAGCGAATAGACTAGACAATCTCTTAAGGTTCTTTCCAGCCCTGTGATTCTGTGATATATTTATACAGCTTCTAGCATAGTCTGTGTGTAGTGCAGTTGAAACGTTTCTGATTCCTGTGGTCAGTAGGAACCAGAATATATTTCATGACTTAGTTATTCCAGATTCCTATTAAATTATAAGGCACGTTTTAAAAACTCAAGGGAAAGGTAAAGACATGGTAGGAAAAACAAATAAGCAGTTGCGATGTAAAAGCAAACGAGAGCGACAGTGGCCTCTGTGCAGCTCGCTGACCGGGCGGTGACATGCAGAGAGAGCCAGGACATGGCATGACAAGAAACCAAATTTGAAGTAGCTTAAGAATGTTTAAAGAAACTCTTTTCCTTATTATATGTATTCTTTTACTAAAGTTTCAAAGTGCATAAAACAAGTGGAGAGAAATATTATTTTAACCTAATATATTCAAGAACTGATTTGTGGTATGAATAGCACCTCTTCTTGGTAATTTATTAAAGGAAAGGGTTGGGGGAGTGATTTAGGAGAGGAGTTAAAATTTTTAAAGTCAGTGGTTCTCAACATTAAACAGTAGAACTCTGAAAATGTGTTCCCATGGAAACATTGTTCTATGGAGTTAATAACACTTCACTTCAGGTGCAGAATAGACTGGTCCTGTGGGCTGGCCCAGGACTCTCTCCGCCGTGTAGAACATTTATTTTCTGAGGAAATGTGTTCCAAGTTCCCAACGACTGGCTTATAAATGAACTTTGGAATGCTATTCACTTAGGAGACTTGAATTATCTATACCATTTCATTCAAAGACATGGACACCCCACTCTGGCCAGAGTCAAATTCATGCCCATGCATACATTTCTCACTATAGGGTAGCTGTCACATCTCTTCCTTATTTCCTTCTTCCTCCCTTCCTTCTTTCCTTTTTTCCTTCCTCTCTCTCTCTCTCTCTCTCTCTCTCTCTCTCTCTCTCTCTCTCTCTCTCTCTCTCTATCTCTCTCTCTCTCTCTCTCTCTCCTAAATTTTAAAAAATGTACACAGTATTTAATAACATAAGACACTGAGGAGATTACTAAAAAGGAAAGGGAGCATGCAGACACCAAATGTTAGAATGCCTATAAAAATCTCATTACATCTGCGTATAGACATAGAAATAACTCTGAAGTTACTATTTGAGAAAACTCCGCCCCAACAGAAAAGCAAGGACAGCTGCTGCATGCCAACTGTCAGAACTTCCAGGGCATTGATGCGAGCCATGGTGACATCATTTCATTTACACTCTGAAACCAGGTTTTGATTTCTTGGGCTTGCTTAGATAATCTGGTGGCATTGCATACAATTTGAAAGACATGGGGTGTGATTTCCAAAAGACTCATAACCATTTTTATTAATGGTCTGATGCTGTTTTTCAGAACATTGTTCTCAGGAGACAATGAAAGTCAAAGTGTTGCAGGCATATCATAGACATGGGAATTCAAAATTATTTCATTCTTGTTGAAAAATGGCAAAAATCGTTGACATAGGAGCCCAAAAGATCAAGAAAAAAAATAGTTTTACTCTCTTATTTATATTGAAGCTACTTAGGATTACAAAACCGGAAACAGCATCTACTCCATGGTAATTGTTTTACTTCATTATTTTATTTAAATCTTTTGGACCTAAAACCAGTGTGTGGGTATGTGAAAACTGAGACAATCAGATTTCACATTCAGAATGGGATAGAATAGGTTAGAATAGAATAGAATGACTACCTGTTGCACCTGCACTTGAATTTAGGCCCTTCTGAATCCAATAGCCATTCTGAGGCAGTGATTATCTGTTCTGGCTGCACTGCAAAATCTCCAGCAAACCTTTGAAACATACAGTTGCAATGGCCCTTCCCTGAAGTTTTTCCTGGGGGAGCCCAGAAAACTTCTTCTTTTTAAAAAAATATATATTTTGTTGATTTTTTACAGAGACGAAGGAAGAGTGATAGAGAGCTAGAGACATCAATGAGAGAGAAACATCAATCAGCTGCCTCCTACATCCCCCCCTCCTCCCACTGAGGATGTGTCCACAACCAAGGTACATGCCCTTGACCGGAATCGAACCTGGGACCTTTCAATCCGCAGGCTGATGCTCTATCCACTGAGCCAAACCAGTTTCAGCCAGAAAACTTCTTTTGAAAATAATAGTAAAGTACCACGGGAGATTCTGTAGTGCAGACAGGGTTAAGAATCCCTGTCAAAACTATGACATCCTTTTCCTAAGAGTGTTCCTGGGAGTCTTAGGCTCCTAAGACACCGAAAAAGAAAAGAAAAGAAACTACCATGATGAAACAAATATGAGAATCGCTGGCCCTTCATCTCCCTCTAGGAGATTCACAGTGATTATTCACATTTTACAGAATGAGGATTCTTGCCATTAAAAATATGTTTAACTGGCTGTCATGTAATGCTTCCCCATCTCCGTTGGCAGGGAACTCTATATAAGTGTGTATGGATCTCCTGTGCATCCCACAGCTGGAGAGCATATCTTCTGGGACTCCTTTAAGCAGCTAAGATGATGCTGAGAAATATTTAAAAGGTGGACGACACAGAAAATCTATGCTCCTCAGGTGCTCTAGACTGTTTTAGCCTCTTGGTAAAAAATAGAATTTCTTTATAGTGATTTAAACTTCCCTTCCCCATTGCTCTCCTCCCTGCCAGTTGTAAATCTCACTGTGGCTATAAAGCAATGCAATGCTAAGAAATAAAACTCACCTAGAGAAACCA